CGCGCCCCGCCCGCGGACCGCCCCCTCTGGCCGCCTCCGCCCGGCTCGCTGCCCTCCCTCTCCGGTCGCCCGGCCCAGTGCCCTCCCCCTCCAGCCGCCGGCCCGCGGTCCACCCGCTCCAGCCGCCTCCGCCAGACCCACTATCCTCCGTCTCCAGCCGCCCGACCCAGCATCCCCCCTCCAGCCGCCAGACCTGCTGTCCTCCCACTCTAGCCTCCAGGCCCGCTGTCCATCCCCTCCAGGCGACTCCACCCCGTCCGCTGTCCTCCCCCTCCAGCCGCGACCTGCTGTCCTCCTCCCGCAGCCGCCCAGCCCGCTGTCCTCCCCCTCCAGCCGTCGGACCTGCTGTCCTCCTCCCGCAGCCGCCCAGCCCGCTGCCCTCCCCCTCCAGCTGTCCGACCTGCTGCCATCCCCATCCACCGCCAGGCCTGCTGCCCTTCCCCTCCAGCCGCCTCCACCTGGCCCACTATCTTCCTTCTCCAGCCGCCAGGCCCAGCATCCTCCCGCTCCAGCCGCCGGACCTGCTGTCCTCCCCATCCAGCCTCCAGGCCCGCTGTCCATCCCCTCCAGACGACTCCACCCGGTCCGCTGTCCTCCCCGCCTCCAGCCGCCCGACCTGCTGTCCATCCCCTCCAGTGGCCCCCACCCGGCCCACTATCCTCCCGCTCCAGCCGCCGAACCTGCTGTCCTCCTCCCGCAGTCACCCCGCCCGCTGTCCTCCCGCTCCAGCCGCCCAATCCAGTGTTGGCATCCTCCATTGAGCGCTGCGGAAGGCGCAGAAGCCACAGGGATGCAGAAAACTCCCTGGAGGGCCTTGATCGCCGCACATCTGCTGTGGTGCTGCCTAGAGTTGCTTTGGAGTGCAACATGCCTTCTCGCATATCTGAAGTTTACAGAGAAACTTTGGCAATGTAGGTTTAAATAAGGGTAAAAAGAATAGCAAATATTCAGCTCATAAAGATGGAATGTGATGAAAATTGACTGCAATTAGAATAAATATTTCATTTGATTTTTTAAAAACACACATAAAATCTTTTTCATTTTTAGTAGGAGTCTCACTCTGTCGCCCAGACTGGAGGGCAGTGTCACACTCACGGTCACCGCAGCCGCGATTACTGGGCTCCAGCGATCCTTCCACCTCAGTCTCTCAAATAGCTGGGACTACAGGCGCACGCCACCACGTCCGGCTAGTTTTTGTGATGTATTGTGAAGACGAGGTCTCGTCAAGTTGCCTAGGCTGGTCTCAAACCCCATGGCTCAGGCAATCATCTCACCTCTGTCTCCCAAAGTGCTGGGATTGTAGGCGTGAGCCGTGGCGCCAGCCCATAAAATCTTTTAAAAAGGTGTGTAAAACTCTCATCCATGAGTTGTATCGATTGGTTCTTTAAAGTTCATCAAAAAACAGCACTTATCTTTTAAATTATCTCTGCTTTTTCTGCCATTGTTGTTCCAGAGTATCTCAATACAGGCTTTCAGACATCTATTTATAAAGTTGAGCCTCCCGTTATAGAAATAGGTGTCGGCAGGGCTTGGTGGCTCAGCCTGTCATCCCAGCGCTTTGGGAGGCCAAGGCGAGGGGATTACCTGAGCATGCGGGTTCAAGACCCGCCCGAGCAACTTGGCGAGACCTACAATAAAAATAAAAAACTAGCCGGGTGTGGTAGCGCGCCCCTGTGGTTCCAACTACTTGGAAGGCTGAGGCGGAAGAAGCAGGTCTACCCTGGAGGGGCCGTGAGTGTGCCACGGCAATCCAGCCTGGGAGACAGAGTGAGACTGCAACTCAAAAAAAAAAAAAAAAACAAAGAGAGAGAGAGAGAGACAGAGAGGTAAAGAAAATAGGAGAAATAGGTATCAGAAACTTTTTTGGTTTACAATGCCTTGATTTCTTTTCTTTTTTTTTTTTTTTTAACTATTTTCGGGTGTATAGTTCATATTCTCCCAATTGGGCACAGACTGCTACAGAACTGGTACTGGGAGCTGTCCTAGCTGAAGATGGGACTTGGAGATTAGTGTGGTTGTGTTCTTGGGCTTGTGTGCAGTGTTCAAGGAAAAGCCAGCAAAAACAGATTGAGGAGTAACCAAAAAAATAAATAAGAGGAAAACCAGAGTTATTTGATGTCATAGGAGGTAAGAAAGTATATCAAGAAATTATTTGAAGGCCGGGTGCAGTGGGCTCACACCTGTAATCCCGGCACTTTGGGAGACCAAGGCAGGAGGACCACTTGAGCCCAGGAGTTCAAGAACAGCCTGGGCAACATAGCAAGACATTCTGTCTCCAAAAAAAAAGGAAGAAGTTAAACTATTGAAACAAATAGTTTTATTTGAAGGGAAAAAAGCATTCACACATAAAACATCCCTTCTCTTTCCCATGTTTAAGTCTCCTTTTGCCTTGAGCGGCATTCTTCTTTTCTAAAGCATAAAATACCATAAAGTTTGCAGGGGACTGGGGGTACAGGAAAGAAAAGAAAGAAAAAGCTGTTTCAGACTGAGGGAGGAGCAAATGCAAAAGGCACCTAAGAAGGCTATTTAGAACAGAATAGAGGACTCCCCAAAAACTCTCCTTTTATAATAAATTACTTCAAGTTCTTTTTCACAGGTCACCTCCTTTCAGAAGCAAGCTTTCCACCATCTGCCATGGATAAGATCACTCCCTCTCTGCCCCGGGATCACTGCTCACTGTGGCTTTATTATAGCCTGGATGAATTGCCTCATCACTGTGTGCATGCCAATCAGTAACCTGTGAATTCTTTGAGATTATTCATTTTTGTAAGACCAGGCTTTCTCCAAATGATAGTACTGAAATAGGGTCCGAGCGCTTAATTCACAGACTCCAACACCGAAAGTACAAGTTATAAAAAGGAGAGGTTTTTTATTAGCCAAGAGCCGGGCTGGTGGCCACTTGCCTGCTGGACATAACAGTCTCACAGCAAGAGGCCCTGATTAGCTGTAGGGGCTTGCTTAAGAAAGGCTAAACTGCAACATCCTGGAGGCCTAGGTACCTTTCAAGCAATGCAAGCGTGGTTCACAGAAGCGAAAAAAAGCTGTTAGACAGTTTAACCTAGCCAGCAAGTGCTGTTGCCAGTTTCCAGGAAGGGAACCTTTTAACTGTGCAAAGGCTGAGTGCATGTTTAGTCTAATTTTTGACATTGTAGATGTTTTTTAAGCCCCCTTTCACATTCCCCCCTTTCAGTTGTTCCTGGAGTCAAATCATTGACTTTTTATACAGGGGATTATATTGAGTTTTGAGGACCATTAATTTTACTGATGATACATTATTTTTAACGTAAGCAAGGAGGCTTATGTATGGGTTTCGATTTTTCCAAGGAGCAATAGTTTTGCAACCCCATGCAGCACAGTGGTTATTGTCCTGTTTTGTGGCAACGGGCTGGTCCTGATGCCAGGTAAGCATAAAAACTACCAAGTTTAAGTTTTGTTTTTTGGGTTTTTTTTTTAATAAGTTAAGGTGCCGCATTCATCAGTGTGTGTGCCCCGAGGGCTAGGCCTGGCCATAATTTACAAAGGTCAAAATTAAAGAAAGGCTGCCCACTTCCTCTGTAGGTGGCAATTACAGTTCCAGTGACAGTATTTCTCAGTTCCTAGGAATAGTTCCCTGGAGTATAGGGATTACACGGGTTAGGCCAATAGGCCTTAAGCTGGGGAAAGTATGCAAGGAATATGATTAAGATACCGGGGTTGCAAAAGCCTTATCTTTAGAGGCTCTTCTCCAGTGGCTGGTTGGATGACTTTCCATGTTTCCAGGGGCGCAATGGTGGCTGCCTTTACTTGTGAATGATGAATCCAGGGGCAGACACCACTGACTTTGACGGCCGTAGGAGCAGTAAGGATTACTATATGGGGTCCTTTCCACCTTGGGGTGAGAGTCTCAGCTTTGTGCCATTTTATCCAGACCTGGTCACCGGGCTGGAACGAGTGTGGATGTTCTGGAACCGGTTTCTGGGAGGCTGCCTGCACAGTCTCAGTGACAGCTTGCTGAACTCTATGAAGAGCCTGCAGTGACTGAAGCAAATTATGGTTAGACAGTTCTAGTGCTTTTTCTAGTCCAATTTTTGGAAGTAACAGCGGGGGCCGTCCAAACAGAATTGCGAAGGGGGTCAGACCCTTGATGTAGGGGGTACACCTGGCCCTAGAGGGCATAGGGAAGGAGTGTTACCCAACCTTCGCCGGTCTCCAGGGTTAATTTGGTTAAAGTCTCCTTTAAGCGTCCGATTCATTATCTCTACCTGTCCTGAACTCTGGGGATGATAAGCACAATGTAAGTTCCAATTTATCCCCAAGGTTTTTGCAATACCTTTAGTAAGTTTAGAAATAAATGCTGAGCCATTATCTGAGCCTATTGAGATAGGTAGATCATGTCTTGGTATGATGCATTTAAGAGTTTCTTTACTGTTACAGAAGCAGTTTCCGTTTTTGTAGGAATGCCTCGACCCATCCCGAGAAGGTGTCCACCAAGACCAATAGGTATTTACATCGATACTGCCCAGGTTTGACTTCTGTAAAGTCTATTTCCCAATATCTCCCAGGGATTAGGCCCCTATCTCAGACCCCTTGGGTGGATACACTGACCTTAGCATTATTAGTCTGCTGGCATGACACGCAGCCTTGAATGAGGTCCTGGGCAAGCTGGTCCAGATGAGGGAGATAGAATTCTTTTCTCATAAGTTCGGTTAGTTTTATTCTTCCCAAATGAGTACCTTTGTGGAGTTGCATTAGGATTTGTTGTCCCAGGACTCGAGGGAGGAAGGTTCTGCCATCCTGAAGTTGAAGCCATCCATCTGGGTTTGAGGTTGTCTACAATTTTTATGCAGCGAGGAGGTCCTCTTCTGTATATTTTGGTGGCTCACATAGAACCAGAGGAGGCAGCACCAGCAGGCAGGTGGTTCTGCAGTAAGCAGCTTCTCTGGCTGCTTGATCTACTTTTCTATTTCCTATTGCCTCTTTTGAGTTTCCTTTTTGGTGGCCCGGGCAATGGATGATGGGCACCTGTTTGGGGGCCCCTATTGCTGCCAGGAGGTCTAAGACCTCCGCTTTATTTTTTATAGTTCTCCCCTCTGTGGTGAGCAATCCCCATTCCCTGTAAATTGTCCCATGAACGTGTGCAGTTGCAAACGCGTACCTGCTGTCAGTGTATACGTTGACAACTTTTCCTTCACCTGCTTTCAGGGCCTCGGTTAGGGCAATCAGTTCTGCTTTTTGGGCTGATGTTCCCTGCGGAAGAGGCTCAGCCCAAATAGTTCCCTGTAGAGTGACCACCGCTGCCCCTGCATACCTTACCCCATTCTGGATGAAACTGCTACCATCCAAGAAAAGTGTCAGGTCGGGGTTTGTTCTCGGGACATCGGTTAGGTCCCAGCGCAGCTTCTGGAACTCAGTTGTTTCATAACAACAATGCGGCAGCCCCATGGGACTTTCTTCCAGTAGTAAAGTTGCCGGGTTCAAGCTGGGGAATGTTGGAACTTGATGCAGGGTTGATCTAAAAGCAGCGCTTGATAATGAGTTATTTGGGCATTTGACATCCATTTGTCAGGGGTCCCTCGGAATAAAGACTCCACTGCATGTGTGGCCATAACAGTCACCCCCTGGACCAAGGAATGTTAGTTTGTCTGAGTCCTTTACTAATATGGCAATGGCTGCTATAACCCGCAGGCAAGGTGGCCAGCCCGAGGCTACCAGGTAGAGTTTTTTTGACAGGTAGGTGACTGGCCTATTCCATGGGCCCAGTTTTTGGGTTAGGACCCCCTGGGCGACGCCTCGTCTTTCACCCACATAAAGGTGGAAAGGTTTTTCAATATCTGGCAAGGCCAGGGCCAGAGCTGAGACCAGGGCAGTTTTAAGGGCTTGGAAAGCTTTGTCCTCCTCTGGT